AAAATGGGGCAAAAACACCCGGTGGCCTAGATAAATACCCTTGGTGGGCCGCATGTGGCCCGTGGGCCGTAGCTTGAGGATGCCTGAAGACCAACACAAGGACTTAGGAAGAAAAAGCTGGTGATCTACATCTGAACTCGAGCCAATGAAAACCCTAGGAATGGGTGCCAGTAATCCTACCCAGAGCCAATCACATAGGCTCACTCAGGCCAGGCAGCATTTTGTAACTCTCCGAGTGGGGCCGCCATGAGGAGGGTCTATTAGGAAGCAGCTCACCGCAGTCACTAGCTTTGGGTTAGGCTGTACCCTTGGATCCCCAGTTGGCTGGGCAATTCAGAACCATTTGGGATCTCATTTACAGAACAGGGGAAGCAATAGCGGTAATGTTTGCTAATATTCACATTCTGCAGGACAAGGCAGTTAAGTGCTTTGTTAGCCATGGTCACATGAGTCCAAGCAGCCTGGTCACCGTCAGATCATGCATAGCTCTGAAGCCAGGGATAAACTGAGCCGAAGCTCGGCCAGGCTTCCAGTCGAGTCCTTGAACATGCCACTTAGGAGCAGTAAGCCTCCATTTCACCGCCTACGAAAGAAAGCGGGTAAGGCAGAGACCTCATGGGAATGTTATAAGGATTAAATGGCTAGATGTATGCAAAGAAGAGTGCTTATTTTACTCAGGGGTTGATAACACTTTTCCTCAAAAGGGCTAGGTAGTGAGAATTTTACTCACACAATCTCTGTTGCAGGTACTTGACTAAGTTGTTAGACTTTGAAAACTGCTCATTAAGTAAACTGTGAAAATTTACAAAAACAGAAAGCAAGATTAATTTGGTCTACTGGCATACTTGGCCCACTCCTGGCTGGGGGAAAGCCTCCAATAAACACAAGTCATGATTATCATCAGTCTATCATAATTTTAGATTTTTATAGGAGAAGAGTTGGTACTTCACCGCCATCAAGTCAGTTCTGATTTATACTGGCCCTACAGGACTGGGAAGAATTGTCCCTGTGAATTTCTGAGACTGTAACTCTTTGTAAGAGTAGAAAGTCTTTCTCCTGCAGAGCATCTAGTGATTTTGAACTGGTGACCTTGTGGTTCATAGCCCAATTTGTACTATACCACTACCACTACTTACCACAGACAATCTATCCTAAGGTGCACCTGACCCAAGCCAAGGTATTTTCATTCACCTCATATGCACATGAAAGCTGGACAACGAATACACGTGATCACAGAATAATTGATTCGTTTGAATTAGCGTGTGGGAGACTATTCAAAGTACCATGGACTGTCAAAAGAACAAACACATCTGTCTTGTAGAAAGTACAACCAGAAAGCTCCTTAGAAGTGAGCATGGTAAGGCTTGGTCTCATGTACTTTGGGCACATTTCCAGGAGAGACCAGTCCCTGAAAAAGGACATCAGGCTTGGGAAAGGCCAGGCTCAGCAATAGAGAGAGAGTGTAACAAAGTGTCTGCGACAGTGGGCTCTACCAGAACAAGAATGTGAGAACAGAGGGCCGGTCAGTGTTTCGTGTCTCATTCCTCGGTACCGAAGACCTGTGAGTTGGGGCCGACTTGGTGCCTGAGAACAGCATGCTGTATAGCATCAGACACATCTTTACCTTCGTGGACTTCTAGTTCTGATCCTTACACAATCGTGCTTTTAAAAATAACAAAACCTTCTAAATGAGCTTAAAGATCTGTTTCTTAAATTGTGAATTTTAAATGATTGTTTCAAATTAAAACGAATGATTAAGCCTCTGTTTTACACAGATGTCCTAATTTCTGAGGTTTTTAACCCTTACTATCGGGATTTTCCAGTTGTAACTAATTCCAAATTCTCTTTTATCTCTGCCTAGTTTCACTCATTAAAAACAACTTCCAATTACGTGAGCTTCTTCTGACCCCCTTACCCCTTCTCTTCAACATTCTCTCTCAGCACAGAGTAACGGCTCACCGGACGTGACTGAAATAGGAGTCAGACTGACTAAAGAAAGCCAGGGATCCGGGGACGCCCCGCTCACACCTCTCCCACAGGTTGCTTCGGGCCACTGCTCACCCTTTACATCAGTGGCAACAGACCCTTATGGCAGGGCTCCCGGGCTCATCCCATTAGAGACTGTATTATGTCTCCTCTCCACCTACCACTGCCCAGCTTTCTCTACCCTCCCCTAACAGTTCAGAACAGTGAGTTTGCTTTTACACACAAACCATCTACTCGGAGTGTCTCATGTTTTAGTGACCTTTTTCAAATGAGAGTAGAAAATGGCATTTTCTAGATTCCAGGAGAAAGCAGTCCAATCATGTCTGTTGCGATTAGAGACCCACTCACCCCGCCATCACTACTGTCACCACACTTGACCCACAGGGCACCATCTCCCACACCCCCCCCCCTTGAGCTCCAAAACACCAGTATCGGTGCAAGAACTAAAAACAAGCACCCCCAAAACCAAAAAGCACTCTGCCATATCCAAGTCTAAGACTAACAGATGAAAATACAGCTCCTCACCAATTTGGAAATGTCACCCTTCTACTTAGAACTCAAACGTGAGGACAAATACAACTACCACCTAAGCAGACATCACCTAACAATGAACTTGACACTTGTCAGACAATAACCAAGTAATGATGAAATAATCCGATGCAAATAAGAATATCGATAATAATAAGCTGACTGCTAGTGGCAGAAAATAATCTAAAACAGAACGATAAAGCAGGGGCCCGAAAAGCCCATTTAATGTGGACCAATTAAAGTGAATGTTCTTGGCATTTTCTTTACCACTTTCCACTAAGAGTAAACTTATGTGGTCCACTGTGGTGAGCTGGCATCAGCAAAAACAGTGAGAGCTGCGTTCCTTAAACATCCTAATTACACCCGGCAGGGAAAGCACAGCCCCATGGTGGGCCTGCGTGACTCACGACCGCCTCAGGGGTGGAAAGAGATTTGCTCTGAGGCCATAATGTGACCAGCCTGGGCCTTCCAATAAAAAGACCTCCATGTCAACAGGTGAGGGTTTTCTTTCATGATGAGAGAGAGAGCGAGAGAAGGGAAGGGAGAAAGAGGCTGAATTATGCATAGAATACCTACTCGGAACCCGTACTCAAGCACGAGTACCCTCCATTAGAGCAATTGCGTTAATTGAAAAACAAAAGAAAATTAAAATGCCCCATTTTCTAAATTATGCTTGCCTTCTGTAGTAAAAGCCAGCATAACGGTTCCATTTAATGGAATAATGAGATTGGCTCTTTAGGGGTTTTCCATTGTGCATTGGTTAGATTTAAGAGGATTTTCCAAAACTATACTTTGAAGTTCCTATAATCTTTCTGCATGATAGGGTTTGTTCTTCTCCTTGGGTCCAACCAGTCACCCTACTGTGCCTCCCCTTATGCCTTAGGAACCAGCAGTTGGGATTCCTGTTTGCAGAGAAGCTCCACACGCCACAAAGCAGCACTAACATCATCTGTGTCCAGCACGTTAGTACATATGTTGACTTCATCATTCTTACGACACTCGCTTTCCACTTGAGCCCCTGGTGTCAGCTCATTTTCCCCCTCCCTCTCCACGTCCCCCTCCCCCGAACCCCTGATAATTTATAATTTATTATTATTTTATCATATCTTACCCCATCCAATGTCTCCCTCACCCACTTCTCTGCTGTCCGTCCCCTAGGGAGGAGGCCACATGTGGATCTTGTCCTCTGTTCCCCCTTTCTCCCTCTCCTTCCCTCCACCCTCCCACCATCACCACTCTCTCCACTGGCCCTGGGGGGGTTCATCTGTCCTGGTTTCACTGTACTTCCAGTTCCTATCTGTGCCAGTGCACCTCCTCCAGTCCAGCCGGATATGTAAGGTAGAATTGGGATCATGGTAGTGGGGTGGAGGAAGCATTTTTGTTTTTATATCTAAACATGAGATGGCTTCAAAAGCTCATGGAAATTTTCCATTATTTTTAAATTCCATTTCTCTACAAACTTTTGAAGCCCTTCTTCATAAATGTCAACCCTTTTAGCCTCTTCCTCATAGGACAGTTTCTGACCTTCTATTCCAGTGAATTT